AAAAAAAAAATAATAAAATAAAAAAATAAGGATCAACAAGCATGTCCTGAAGGAGGGAGGAAATACACTGAGGCAGAAGGGAGCTTGGGAATGATGGGATGTTCGCTATCTCGATCATGACAAAGGTTTCACTGGGACATACATACGAGGTCCGATGATTAAATTCTCTAACTTGCCACCAGGCCCTTATGTTGGCAGCACCATACAAACAGCTCAGTAACGTTTCATAAACTTTGGTATACCAGTGACTCACAGCTGTACTTTTGTTGACATGTGGTGGTATCTTGCTGAGTGGTGTTTGTTGTGTGTTTTTGTGTGCTGTCTGGAGAATGTCAGAGGTTGGATTAGAGCAACAAACAAACATTACATTTTTTGTTAAGTTTGGCAAGAGTGGAAGTGAAATCAGGGACACATTAGTCCAAGTTTATGAGGATAATGCTATGAAGAAAATGGCAGCGTACAAGGGGATTAAACCTATTCTGAGGGGAGAGAAAGTGTCACTGAGAAAGAAAGGTCAGGGAGGCTAGTAATGAGCAGAACTGATGAAAACATTGCAAAAGTCTGCCAAATTGTGCATCAAATTGTTGGCTGACTGTGAGAAGCATAGCAGACCTATAGGCGAAACACCTATATGCCTCTGGCCAAAAAAGCCATTTGAGAGAGAGCAGTGAAAAGACTTTGTGCATGCATACTTTTAAGAAACTGAGGCAGAATCCCATCTGACCAGATCAGTTGTGGGCCTTATATGACCAAGGCTTTGGCTGGAATAGCATTTCCAGACTGCGTTAAGGAATTAAGGTTGACTTTATAAGGCCTATGAAAAAGCCCTTTGGAAAACCAGCCAGATACCCATCAGTAAACTTTCCTGATCTGTGGTCAGTGATGAAGGTCGCTTGCTGACGGGTCTGGGAATGGAGTAACCTTTCCTGATCTGTGGTAAGTGACAAAGGTCACTTACTGACAGGTCTGGGAATGGAGTAACCTTTCCTGATCTGTGGTAAGTGACGAAGGTTGCTTACTGACGGGTCTGGGTTCCTGATCTGTGGTAAGTGATGAGGGTCGCTTGCTGACAGGTCTGGGAATGGTAATGTCATACAGGTAAGTAATGGCACAGATGAAACCTGGGCTCATGAAAGGCTTTTGAAAAGTCCAGTCTGAGAATTCCTTATAAAAGGCTCCAGCAACCCCCCCTACCCCGACTTAAGGCCTACATGGGAGCAGAGGTTTGCACACAAATTCCTGTATACCCAAGAAGTTTCTCTATGCTTTGCTTAAAAATTCAAAGTAACTGCCTCCAAATGGCATGGTTAGTAGAACAGACGTTCAAATCATCTCTTTCCCCTGTAGCCTCAGGCTTCATCAGATAAGATAAAAGAAAGTAATAACTGACAACATGTTCTTCATTAGGTTATGTTAAACCGGGTTATATTGAAAGGATTATGCTTAAAGGTGTATGTTGGGTGGATTATCAGATTACCAGGGAGGAGCTACTTATAGGGCAGGTGGTCATAAGCTGTTTAAATGGATCAATGAAGTCATTGCTGCATTGTGCTCATGTACAAAATTCCCTATATAAGCCAACTGCAAATAAAGAAGCTCGCCATTTTGCCTGAGCGAGCAGATGGTCACCTTTATTTAAAACACAATTTCAATAAGCGTGCTTATTCTCCACGACATCGCTTTTCTGTGAGACCCTTACGGCAACACAGACCAAGTAAACATTGATAGAGAAACAGGCAAATCGTAACTGAAAATCTTGGCCAGTAACTCATGGCTCTTGCATCATGACAATGTATCAGCTCACAGGGCACTGTCTCTAAGGGAGTTTTTTGCCACTAAACAAATAACTGTATCAGAACACTCTCTTTACTCATCTGATCTGGCCCCCATTGACTTTTTTCGTTACTTGAAGATAAAGGAAATATTGAAAGGAAGACATTTTGATGACATTCAGGACATCAAGGGTAATATGATGACAGATCTGATGGCTATTCCAGAAAGAGTTGCGAAATTGCTTTGAAGGGTGAACTAGGTGCTGGTATCTGTGCATAGCTTCCCAAGGGGAGTACTTTGAAGCTGACCGTAGTGATATTTAGCAATGAGGTATGTAGCACTTTCCCTAGGTTGAGTTCATGAACTTAATTGTCAGACACAATGGCTTATTGTACATTAGTAAAGCTGCTTTTAGAAATGCCCCCCATGGCTCAGTGACTGTAGCACAGTGGTTACGGAGCCAAGGGTGGTGGGTTTGAACCTGGCCCAGGCCAGCTAAACAACAATGACAACTATAGCAAAAAATAGCTGGGTGTTGTGGTGGGCACCTGTAGTCCCAGCTGCTTGGGAGGCTGAGGCAAGAGAATTGCTTAAGCCCAAGAGTTAGAGGTTGCTGTGAGCTGTGACACCACGACACTCTACCAAGGATGACATAGTGAGACTCTGTCTCAAAAAAACAAACAAAAATAAAATAAAAATGCCCTCCATGATGATGCGTCAATAGCTCTGGAAGAGTACAGCAGTGGGGACAGGCTTGCCATCCCAGGGGCTATGTGCTCCATGGCTTCTTTCTGGTGTGTGTCCGTTGTGTATTTAAACAAATAAACCCACCCATGTGACACAGGAGAGTCTGTTGGATGTGCGGTGAGTTGAACTGTGGCCCCCACAGACATGTCCACCTGGAATTTGTGGAGGGGAGCCTATTTGTAAATAAGGTCTTGGTGGATGTTACTCAGGTAAGGATCTTAAGATAAGATCATCTTGGGGCTTGGCGCCTGTGGCTCAAGTGGCTAAGCCACATACACCTAAGGTGGCGGGTTCGAATCCAGCCCGGGCCCGCCAAACAACAATGATGTCTGCAACCAAAAAAAAAAGCCAGGCATTG